AAGGTTCTGGGAACACTGTGTAATGTTGACACTCCGTTAATAAAACAATCAGTAATTCGGCAGCCCCTTAAACTTTGATTGCCTCTATAAATAAGGAGAGCAAGAGTGGTGGTCCATCATAAAAACACTCGAAACCAAAGAAATAGCTACTTAGAGAGAGAAGAGCTGAGAAGAGAGAAATGAAAATGTCCCTCACACAAGTGGCTATTATGGCTGTTTTCATTACAGTCTCCACAGCAGCAATCACTCGAAATGACCCAATTAGAGAGCACCCTCACTCGGTGGTAGTGACTGAGGGAGGGTGGGCACACTTCACATGTGCTATCAAACTCCCTGGAATGATACGGTGGAGGATTGGAGACTTTGAGAACAACGGCAGTGTCTACAACGGTGTTAGTAACCTGGCTGGGCTGGAGGGAGCCACTGCTGAGAGATTCTCTTACACGATCAACAAAACGAAGAAGATGCTCCATGAGACGATACGAGTTCTGGCCACAGTGGAGTTGGACGGCATTCCAGTCCAGTGTATGTATGAATCTAACGACGAGAGTACAAAGAAGGACAGTTTCAGCATGTTTGCTCTGATACATGTGAACAGTACATTTGGCAGTGGGGACATCTAATAAGATTTAATCTGATCTTGTATTGCATACAATTATAATTGCCATATGTCATGATGATTATTTGCTGTAGCTATATTTATTGGTGCTAGGAGAAAGAAGGAGCATAATGTAGCTACAAGCCTGCATGGGTCTAGTCCCTACTCAGTGATTCACGAGGCCACACCAGTCAGCCAGGCTTGTCATGGTGGCATGTGCAGAACTAGCACAGACACGTGGCCTCCTGGTTTTCCCTCTCCCTGCACCGGAATATGAGAACGCGATCGCTGGCTTCCGACACCAAGTGGGGGAGGGGCTGGTTGTGGGGGTTGGGCTGAAATGCTCCCGCGCACTGTAGACAAATTCATAGCGAGAGGACGGTATAAATCTGTGCGCAAAGCAGAAGAGGTGTCAACGACTTGGTATCGAGATAGAAAGGCAAGACAAAGCAAAAAAAGTCAACTACACACGAGAAGAGCAGCAGACGAGAATGAATCTGAGTATTGTATTCTACCTCACTCCACTCCTCACTTTCACTAATGGAGGTAGCTTGCCATGTGTGCAGCAATTAGTACTTTTGGTGCTTTCATTTTTAACTCCAACAGGGAAGTTGCTAGAGTTCTCATACACTAGAGAGGTCAATGAAGGAGAGTGGGCCAGCTTCTCTTGTGCAGTCAAACGTGGCAAAGCAATAGTTCGTTGGAAGATTGGTAACTATACAGATGAAGTGGGTAACGGTATGAAGTATATCGGCTCTCATGGGCTTGTGGTGAGGCAATATGATGACCGTGAACTAACAGAGAAGTACAAAGGCAAAGGACTAACTTCTGGCGTTGAGGTCCTGGCCACTGCAGAGTTGAACAGAGTTCCCGTGCAGTGTGTGGCTCACCCACTTGACCTCTCACTCTCAATAGAGTACAGCAAGTTCATCATCCTGAGTGTCCACGCCGATCTCAATACCACTAATCAAGGTGAGCATGCGCTAAAATGGTTCATCGCGCCTTGTGCACCCTAACACTGAAACCTGTTGTATTCACGTTTTTTCCCCTACAGATACGATCTCCCAAGATCTTCCAAGACCACGAAACTCACGTTCTGTTACGTCACCCCCATCATCATCATCCAGAGCAGCTGCTTTGTTTACCTCCACCTTCATCACCATCACTTTGGTGTCAACCACGATTCTAACATTGGACATTTCTTGAAAGTCTTAACTGCTCTACCATTGGACTAAAACTGATATATTATAATCATGATGCATTTTTATGTGCCAAAACTCATTATTGAAATGCCATACATAACATTCATGGTTCAATGATTCAATAGAGATCCTTATGATAACAGTTCATTAGTAGGGTCTAGCAGTCGGTGTGGTCTCCAGAGCCGGTGTTTGCAGGGTGCACCTCGATGAGGGCAAATTTGCTGTAGCTGTCTCTCGTGGCAAACCTTGGATGGCGATACACACACTCAACTGGTACTCCATCCATCTCAGCAGTAGCCAGTACCCCGATGGTCTCAGTGAGGATCCTCCCTGTAATATCAGGGGCAAACGATCTCTCGGCCGTCACTTCCTCCAACTCAGGCAGACTCCCTGCACTGTTGTAGACATAGCCATCATTGGTGAAGTCTCCAATCCTCCATCTAATGGTGCCGGGGAGTTTTATGCCACAGGAGAAGTTGGCCCACTGTCCCTCAGTGACTACAACTGAGTGTGGGTGTTCTCTGATGGGGTTGACAGCAGCTGCAGACAGAGCTGCCAGGATACTGAAGACTGTCAGTCGTACGAGTTCCATTTCCTTTCACTGTTTCTTTTCTTGCGAAGTTTAATTCTCTTGAGTCTCTTTCTCGGTTTTTGAGTTTCTTGACATTTTCTGCCATTTCATTGGCCTTTTATAGGCTCAGCTATTGCAAAGACTTCATCCTTATTTTAAGGGATCGATGCATCAGAGCTTCTGTTAATGGTTACGTAAGGGAAAATATATTACGGCCAAAACAACATTCCCAAATGTCGGAGTTTACTATAATTTTCATAAGTGGGGCAGAGCATACTCCGCAAGTTTTCAAAATTTGCAGCTAAAACTAATAAACTGTTTGGAGGAACATATAAACATGACTTCCCCTGACAGTGGAAGCGTGACTCGTCTATCAGCACTCTGCCAGGAACTAAGGGGCTGCAGATGTTGAGCAATAGTTGTCACAAGCTCTACCGTAGATAGCTATATACACTTGAGTAATATTCCCCTTCATCCAATAATTTTGATCAACAACTTGTTTTTATACACTCAATCACCCCGGAATTACCTTAGGCTGTTTACATCATCTAGCCAACCCATCATTCCATCAAAATAAGTAACATCACAGTCTACAACTGAGTTAAAGAGGTTGTCACATGGAGGTGGGATATTCTATCACGGGGACTGGCTGGCTGGCCACACAGTGCACAAGATATAAACAGTCTCTGTTTGTCAGTCAACATACTGTACAAACACCGTGGACATGGCAGACAGTGTGGCAGAGAGTCTGAGGTTGGGTGGCCGCTTTTCTTTGTCTCCCTCTCTCCCCCTCTCTCCCCCTCCCTCCCTCTTCCTGGCACACACACAGGAACAGAGCACCCACAAAAACATTACACCTGCCTCCTCTTTCTTCCCACAAGATTTTTGCAACGTGTGTGTCGCTGTGCAAGATACAGACTAGTATGGCGGTGATGTCATAGAGCAGACAGTGAATATCAAGTTTCAGCCGCAAACAGAGATGCTAGTGTAAACTTCACACCGACTGACTTTGAGGCAGGAATGCTCAATGGAGCTCTGACAGAAAACAACCATCCATGCTGTGTGGGGAGGTCAGGAATCTTGTGTTGTGACTACATATCTTAATCCCCTCACCTGTAAAACAGTATGGCCCACATGGTGATTGTGATATTCATTGCCAGCTGGTTTAACACTGTGTGTGACATAATCTCACAGACACTGATCATCAGAAATTCAGGGTCTGAGGATAGATAGCTACTCCTAAAATACGTGTATGTTGCCTCAGGACGTGGAGAGCCTTTTGTCTCAGATTTATGGATGACCAAAAGCACTGAATGCAGTTTTTGCAAGGAAGTCGACGATGGAAGTGCCTGTACCAAACAACGTAATGTACTTCGCTTTCATTTCACCTTACGCATTTCACTTGCAGTGCACAATCCGTCACATTCCTCCAAGGAAAAAAAGTTAAAACTGACAATAAAAAAAAGTTAAAACTGTATATACAATATACATAATGGCAAGGGCAGTGAGCTAATCATGTTTAATTGGTAGGAGTCGGCTATTTTTGGGGTTTGGGTGTCCTGTCTCTGAAGAAATAGCGGCTGTTGGTTCTTGTCTCTGGGGCTGGGGTAGAGCTGCGGCTGTGGGCCTGTGGGGGAGAGAAGACAAACAAACAATCACTGGCAGAGTATTCAAAAGTAAAGGGATCTGTAGCAACAGTGTTGGAGTAAGGAGGAAAGAGTCCCAAAACATGTTTCACCATGCAAGGTTCATATATACGCACAGGGACTGGTTCCTACTCAGCAGTAAAGAGATCACTACGTCTCTTGCAGCTATGTACAGGTTAAAGGACAGTTGAGTTGAGGTTGTGAAACAACAACCCCACCAGCTGGGCGGTTGTTATGACTCCCCAGACCTCTGAAACAGTACCCACTGTTCAGTATTCATGGCCTGTTCTACATGACATCACTGTATATACTTATCGTGGCCGTGGGACACAACAGAAAATCTTCCCCACATCTTACATTCAGGATCTGAGGATTCTCTCTAGACATGTTGTGTACAGCAGAGGTTGAGAAAGGCACGTAAAATAGAAGTGAGGTAGAGGGATTAGGACAGTGAAGGAGCAAACGGCTTACTCTGAGGTGAGGTTTAGTAGCAGAGCTGGGTTGAGGAAGTGGGTGTGGTTCCGAGGGTGTGGTGGGTGTGGTCAACTGGGCAGTCATCTGGTCTGCTGATGACCTGAGACTCCGCCTACCAATATCACCTGACACTGGAGCTTCTACAAGAAGAGTAATAGTGGAAAACTCGTCTGATAGAGTTAGAGATACTAGCATGAGAATGGGTGTGTTAGTGACTGTTTTCAGGTCTTGCACATGTGTAAAGAACAAATAGACGAGGGAGAGGAAGTTACAACGACACGTAGCGTGCCTACCATCTCTCTCCTCTGTGACCTCTTTCTCAGGTTCAGGGTCACTGGTACTCTGAGGCTTCTCCCCCTCAGCTGCCGCAGAGACTGGCCTCCTCTGAGGTCTCCTGGTGGTCCTCCTGCTAGAGCCAGCCCTCCTGCCAGTTGACCGGGGCCCTCCAGATGAGCTAGTGGCTCTGGGAGTGTTGCTGAGACAAGTGTTCTTGCTGCTGGTGGTACTGCGGATGGGAGATCTGGTCAGCAGGTTCTGGGAGTTGTCTGGTGTGTCTTTGTCATCGTCACTGAAGAGTTGGCCAGTCCTGAGCAGAGAGAATGACGGCTCCTCGCGATCTCCTGAACACACAGAGAGAGTGATAAGACAGCCACTACCATCACGATCTATTACCTTGAGAATGTTTCCATGACTTTTGTTCCCTGAGGCGCCGAGAGACGCTCGTCTTGGTCCTGGAGGCGGCCCTGTCATTATCTGGTAAATTGTCATCTTCGTCACTGCTCAGGACTGCAGCCAACCAGACAGAGAGAAAGGCATAGAAACATCTACATCCCCCATACATTTCCATCGTCCATACACACACATACATACCAAAGTGTGAGTGTTTGTGAGTGGAGTGAGGGTGAGAGTGGGGATCTTGGTGACGAGGGGTGAACTGGGTGGAGTCTGGAGTGTCAGCGAAATCCTCCAGATAGGGAGGAGGAGGTTGGGAGGTGATGGGTGGCTGTGTAGGAATGTATGGGAGAGGAATGGGGGTCTGGATGCATGGAGGGAGAGAGGAACACATATTGAGGGTTTACAGAAGAGATAGTTATGTATGTACAAAGTTGGAGGAACAAGAAGAAGAAGATGATGATGAACAAAACTCCCTATCATAGCCCCATACATCTATGATGCTAGGTACCATGTCAATCCCTATATACTAAGTACTACCATACTTAGTGATCTATGGCTATGAGCCTGAAAACATAATATGGAACGAAGATGAAAGTGGTTGTATTACCATGCTTTGCCTGAAACAGACAATGAAAGCAGAGATGTCAGGCTTTAAATTGAGAGAAAGAAACAGACAAAACAGACATATGATGGAACATCAGTGATGCTGTATACATGATCCGATACCTTCTTAGTTGTTCCCCCAGAGGGATGGACACCAGTTGTCTGCTGGGGAAGGTGGAGAGAGGAGGACCTCCCATTCCCCAGCAGTTGTCTGATCTCAGCCAGTAGTCTGTAGTTCCTCTCGCCATAGTCCTGGTAGTGGTACCACTCCCACATGTACTGGAGGAGACACGCCCCCACACACAGGTAGCGACACGCCCACAACATGTTGTGGAGGACCGACTGTCATGGGAATAGAGATTACGCCTGGTCACAAAAATTCAGGAATCGTTTACAGATCGTGACTCTGTGAAAAGTCCCATGCAAATTGGTAGCTGACTGAGTTTAAAGCTGTTAGAAGCTATTATACCAGGTCAGAGGGTGGGGTGTCTCCTGCAATAATGAGGAAGCCGTAGAGTCTCCGCACACAGACCTCCACCATTCCCTCCACGACCAGCACCACTAGGAGCTTGAACCTGCTGAAGTGGAACTGAGGCAGGAGCATCACCACCAGCCACGCCAGGCAGAACCATGCCAGAGTACCCCACCCCACAAACTCCACCACCACCAGAGTCATTAACCCCCGCACTGCCTCCACCGAGCTCTGCAGACTACCAAACATCTCCCCTAACATCGCTTTCTGCTGCTCTGCCATGGCCGACATCTGCCCAAACGAGGCCTCCATGTCGACATGCGTCTTACGCAGAGACGAGGCAATCTGTCTGTCCTGTTCCAGGATCCTGTCCTGATTCCTGAGAGCTGTGTCCTGTTTCTCGTCCATGGCTACGTGGTACTCTAGAGAGCGCTCCAGTTTGAAGAGGGCCTTGGTGGAGGTGTGAGACAGTCTCCCTATGAGTCCCTCCGTCCGTCCCTGCCACAGCTCTATCTGGATGAAGTAGCAGATGTGGCCCGTGTGCGTGAAGAAATGGGTGTACGTCTGGTAGGCCTCGGTGTTCATGGGCTCCGTGCACTCTCGCACGCTCATCTCCTCCGAGCAGGGGTAGGTGGCGCGACCTGACTTGGCTAGGTGGCAGTTGGCGAAGGCCACGGCCAGCTTACTCTGCTCCATGTCGCTCAGCAGTTTGCACGAGAGGTCCAGTTGATCGACGGCGTCTCTCCAGCAGGGGCTGTGGGCAGCCTTCCCCTCCAGCTCCCTCAGTCCTGCCTCCCCCAGCTCCAGACGAGACCTGTCTACTCCTAGGACGGACGGTTCACTCCCATCACCTCCTACACCCAGCCAGAGAGAGAGGAAGAGGAGGACTGGGAAATCGGACAGAGCAGCGCGTCGTCCCATTTGCCGGTCAAGTTTGAAAAAATGCTGACCGTCGTCCGGCGCATGTGCACTGCGCTCGCAAGCTTCACCTAATTGCTTCTGGATCTGCTAGGCCTAGCAAAAGAGAAAGAGTGGTTCACCCACTGATGACAACATCCCCCACTCGCACCGAATGACATAACTCTTCAAACTATATATACGAGAATGAGAACCAGCTAGACCCTGTGGGTTAAATACAACCACAGATGTACAATAGTCGTATATATGGTAAATGGTATAAAAAGCAACAATAAATAAAACTAACCCCCTCACTGCACACGAGTTGATTATGCCTAAACACACACTGTACATATAATAAGAGCAAGTGCCAAATTAACTAGGAAGTTTTTTCAATGCAGTTGTCTCGTCCTGCCTTTCTTTTCTCTCTTGCTGATTCCGGTAAACAATGAAACCAACAATCAAGACAACAACTATGACAACAGAAACAAGACCTGCTGCTACTCCAATCACAATACCAGCTATAGCACCACCAGAAAGCCCTTCATCAGTCTCAGAGGTAGGCTTAGGAGATGGGGAGGCTGTAACAAAACAAAACATTTAATATCTGTATCTATGCATTATAAGCTATGTTGACAAGGTCAAAATATGAAATAGTATAGCAGTGCTACTATTTAGAAACACAATGGCATTATTTATGCTGGGGAAATCTGCCTCTACTGCTATCATGGGTACTACGCAAGTTGGGAAAAGGCACAGCTATACTGGCACACAAATTATATACAGTAGGCAGAGACAACAGTTGACAGAGACAATAAATAAACTCACAGGAAGGTTCTCGAAAGCTACTAATGTTAAAGCAGTACTCATAACCATCACTCAGCATCACTATAGTCTCGTTCACGTAGAATTTCATTGCGACATCCGGTGCTAAGGTGGCACTCTGAAAATCCTGAAGGTCACAGCTATTGTTGCTGCCCTTTTCTCTCTCACCAAATGACACATTCACATTGGTATTTGAGCAGTATTCATTTACTGTCACCTGGACACTGGGTTCATTTCCTCTAAGATTGTCCTCTATCAGCTGAAATACCATGGCTAAAGGAATGGCAATAAATCACATTAGTAACACTTTTACGTTTTACTCACTCTTAAAGGAGAGGCTGACAGGCTCAGATGATCCAGCATCATTGGTGAGTGTTAGAGAAACAGTGTAGTAGTCTTCTGTGGTGATGTTGAAAGTGCATCTTGTGTCTGTCACACCAGAGCAGACAGTGTCTCCTGGAGGACTTAGCTTCACAACTGCCTTCTGTGCACCTGGATATACCACTCCATCATCTCTTTCACCATCCTGTATACACATAGCTACATCAGTGTACAACAGTTTCTCTTGCCTTAACTACACTATCAGAACTAACCATCCAACTAAAGACACCAGGTCTGCCGTCACTCACTGGAACATTGCAATCCATCGAGAGGAAGAGTTCCCTTGGCTGAGGTGGGGCTGAAGAATACAGTAAGATTTGCATGAACACAAAAACGTAAAAACACCATCACTCAGGTATTGGGCTGTGATATATATGTGCTGTGTGTGCAACTGCTTGTGTGTGGCATACAGAATATAAAAGACTCCCAATCCCAAGGGGACCCCATTGCTCAATGACAGAAACCTACTGTTGGGGGAATTTACCTTCACGTTTTCTACATACTATGCCATCTCCAGTGTAATTCTCCCTGCACACACACTTCCCCTCTTTATACTCTGCATTCTCATCACATGTCACTGCATATAAGGAAGGATGTTCATTCCCTACTACACAAGTGTCACTGAATAATGGTTAATGTAAATTCCAAGAATAGCGATGAACTTACATAATGCGATGTTGTGTAACATCACTTCACTATAGGAGCCCTCACAACTATTCTTGCTTGGCAATGTACAGAATATGGAGATAATTGTATCATTCTCGGGGTCATTAACCTTAAGACCAACTCTTTCTGAATCATTGCTCTGATTGCACGATGACATGAACACGTTACCATTTCCACACCGGCCTGGAAAGCAGCCATTTGATCCTTCCGAGTGTATGCAAATTTCATAATTAATATATTTGCCAAAACAGCCAGTAGTGGAGTTGTTGGAGATATCATCAATGACATATCCCACATAATTACGTGGAATGTGTCTGTATTCTATAGAAAATAAAGATAAAGATACACTCTCTGACATGCAACGTGCATGAGACTAACCTGTTGGTCTGGCTTTAGGCAGGTAGTATTTCAATGGCTCGCAAGCGAGACAGCTCTGTACTGTAACTGTGACATCATCCCCATAAAAAGTTGCATCAGGAACATCAATTGTAGCGGCACCAATCTCATTTTTGGCTTGGGTATTGTTTTCAATGTGATGCTCAGATTCAGCGCAGTCTGTCAAACTAACCGAAACGTTGCAAGTCCCATTGCCTCCTATGAGGCCCACAATATCTATGATGAACCCATCCACATTGTTCAAAAATGAGATTATGTTGACATCTTGGCATGAGTTTGTAGTAAGTTCATCTAATTTTACAGAGAGAGAAACATGATTAGCAGAGCACCGCCTATTATTAGCTATAGAGTGTTGCTTTGTGAAGGGACTGCAAGGTATTGTATCTGCCTTAGGATAGATTGATGGATATACCAACCACTATCAAACAACTAATGGATGTATTCTGTTAAAATGGAAATTCACAAAAGAGTGGTTCCGTCAGTCTTCACTGGCACAAAACATTCATTCAATTCACACAACTATTGGATATTTGAACTGAAAACACTCATCCTGTGTGGACTAAACCTGGATGAGTAATCACCTCCATCACCATCTATTGTCCTTTATTGCATTTTTGGTCAGCATTCCGTTGCGATCCTGTCATTGTCATACTTTTCTGTTTTTGTCAAAAGACTGTACAGCTGAAGAAGGTCCTCAGGGACCGAAACGTTGTGTGAATTGAATGAATGTTTTGTGCCAGTGAAGACTGACGGAACCACTCTTTTATGAATTTCCATTTTAACAGATTATAAGACAGTCTTCAGCCTGAGAGACTGGTTGTTTGGGACCCGGATTATTATATTTAACTAATGGATGTAAGTACACTCTCTTCAAACACGCAACACACTCTGTAACCGTAATTTTTCAGTCACAATTCCTTCATAAACATGCACATGATGAGGTTCAGTAAAATACCAACCACGAGGACCAGTTGTAATGACACGAGCAATGTTGCTGCAGATATTGATGATGGATCCACCAGAGAGTAGTCTGAACACACAGCGGATGTCCACGTCTCCGTCAAACATGAATTGAAGGTTAGAGCCACTGGCAGTAAAACCGCGTGGAAGATGAGTGACGGTGAACAGATCATCATTGATCAACCATTGAGGAAAGGTGGCTGGCAGTGTTGTATTGCAAGTGAGGGTAACGACCTCTCCCCTTGCCGCTATCGTGGATTCCGGTGTTAGAGTAACGGAGTAGTCGGTCATGTTGGAACATTCTAAGCCTAGAGAGAGCAGCGTGGAAGGTAATCACTACGTAAACCATTATCTGCACTTGAAAGCTCACATAATATTGTTGGAATCGCTGTAACAGCAAGCACTACAACAAAAACACTCATCCTGTAGCTATAGCTACAAAAAACCTCGATTGTAAAACTTTGGGCACCTCCCTTTGTAGGAACGCAAAACGATCAAACGATCCAGCGATTCTGGACGGGCGTCTCGTTAGTACGTTACCGGTAGAGCTGTGTACCAAATTTAGCTGGCGTAGGATTACGTTGAATTATTAGCGCTAAAAAAAGAACAACCCGGTCTCATCATAGACGGCGTTTCCGCGCATGCGTGCGGTTCGACTGGCAAGAGCCGTCCGGCCGGCGGCCGCTATATCGCCCCCCTTTTCAGCGCGGTGTAGCTACGCGCGCGGCTAGCTATATCGGAATAATGCTGTTTGAAATTCTCTCTCTTAGTCTCTTCTCTGAGCTGATCTCTAACTCGCTTGGTAAGTGTTTTCTCAGAATCAGCATGAAGTACCCCACCACTTGCTGAATTCGTGGCTGAATTTATTAGCTAGATTCATTATATACATCCAGGCTAGCCACCACAGTGGTGAGAGCTTATACAAGTGATAATTGTGGATATAGCTACACCAGGCAAGACAGATGCACATGGCAAAGAATTCGCTACTATCCCAGTCTCAGTACCAGCCCCTGAACCTACTAGTATCCCTAAACAAAAGCGCAGCCCATGCTAATTAGTAGGGGCATACTCCATCTCCTCCTCTGATCCCAGGTGCCGAGATCATCAGCGGTCCACAAACAGTCTCAAATGCCACTCTTGGTGGCACTGCAAGTTTTGAATGCATAATAAACAGTGAATTAGCTTTACCTCGATGGAACATCAATGGAATCGACTACACTGTCACTCGACTTCCTGCTGGATTCCAGTTTGAGAGTGATTCTTTCTCCAAAGTGCTGACTGTGAGCCCTGTCCAGCAAGAGATGAACAATTGGTGTTTCTACTGCTTTCTGCTCTTTGTCGATGATCGTGTGGAGAGCACACGAGCTAAGCTGATCATTCCACCACCAATAGTCACTCCCACTTACTCCATTAGCAGTCAGTCAACTGTATCATCCACACTGCCACTATCAACTCACTTCTCTACTCTTGTATCAAAAAGCATACCCCTTCACACTACTCCTGTTCTTGATAATACCAAAGGATCTTCATCTCAATTCATCTGTAATGTTTTACCTTATCCCAATGTTGTTCTTGCATAAGACAAAAGGTGTCATGTTTAGACTCTGTTTATCAACACTGCAGCTGTAGTTGCAGTTTCAGTGGCAGCTGTGGTTGTTGTGATACCTCTGATCTTTGCTACTATTGCACTTTTGATTTATCGTGAGGCTATAATAAACATATTGTTGCTGAAACCTTTATGGTGTGTTTTAAATCTTTCAGGTCAAAGTAAAAACAAAGGTAGGGTTCCATTTTTTATATTATATTGATGTCTACTTACATTTTCAGGCAAAAAGAAGAACCAACAATTCCATGGTGAGTGTTGCAATAATGTAAGTAGCTACTCTATCAGCCACTGCTATTCTCTCAGTGTATGAGGAGGTGAATGTTGTTACGACTGAATGTGCAACTGTGCAACAAAACGTAGCATATGCAAATCCACTGGAAATCAAAGAAAACCCTGCGTATATTTCTACCATGAAGCTCTCTCAGAAAAATACAAATGTCTAGCTATGTTCCATACACATGAGTTAGTGTAGTGAACAAGTCATCCATTCATTTCCTGTGATATCACTTATGTCCAGAGACACACTACATGTTGAACTCTTATCATGTTGCTACATCACTATACATCTAACAATGAGAAGTCTGTTCTTATACTCACAATTTTTACTTACATACCCACAGTTTCCTTGTTTGTAATGGCACGTGTGCGAAGTGATAGCTCAATTGTACATATACCTGTCATATAAAACTGACCGAAGCTGTGTTTGTAAATCTCTTACTCCCAAACCAGCAGTTTCTTATTATCAGTAGTTTTATGTATTCACACTTTGGTTCAGGTGTGTCATAGGTCTCAACCTTCCAGAAGGATAGTTGAGACCTATGGTGTAGGATGTAGATACCTGGGACGTCACCTGTACCACTGGTTACCTCAGCTGGTCAGGGAGGGTGTGTAGATAGAAAGTAACGTGCAACATAATTATCAAAAAACAGAGCTGTAAATTAAACCACTGCTTACTGATAGATGTTACAAGTGGAAAAATAATTTATATGAAATGAAGGGGTTATGCTCTGGCTGTTTTTTTACACCTCTGATCAAAGATGCAGCTATACTTTCCATGGTGGGGATGCACAACAATACATGACATAGCAGAGAAGGGTAACAAAAAAGGGGAATAGTAACACAGAGACAAGTAACCTCTTAAGGTCAGAGTCTTGTGACCGGTTGTCATCGAGGAGATTGTGAATGACAACAGATCTTACACACTCTCGGCCGCATGCGCAGCGAGTGACGTGTCTTAAGGCTACAACCTAATTGCTTCTGGATCTGCTAGACCCTCTCTCTCACTAGCAAAAGAGAAAGAGTGGTTCACCCACCACTGATGACAACACCCCCCACTCGCACCTAATCTATATACGTGTATATCATGAGAATGAGAAACCAGCTACCCTGCCTTGGCCTCTAGACGGGACCTGTCTACTCCTAGGACGGACGGTCCACTCCCATCACCTCCTACACCCAGCCAGAGAGAGAGGAAGAGGAAGCATGGGAAACGAGACACAGCAGCGCGTCGTCCCATTTGCCGGTCAAGTTTGAAAAAATGCTGAGGTCGTCGACCGTTGTCTGGCGCATGCGCACTGCGCTCACAAGCAGGCCACCTATGCTCTGTGGATGACTTTGCAATGAGAATCATTATAGCTACAACCTAATTGCTTCTGGATCTGCTAGACCCTCTCTCTCACTAGCAAAGAGAAAGAGTGGTTCACCCACCACTGATGACAACATCCCCCACTCACACCACACAACTCTACAAACTACACACTTGTATACGAGAATTAGACCCCAGCTACCCTGCCTTGGCTGTGGGTTAACGTTGTCTGAATACAACCACAGATGTACAATAATCGTAGATATGGCAAATGGTATTAAAAAAAACAATAAAAACACTAACCCCCTCACTGCACACGAACATTAAGGGTTGGTTATGCCTAAATACACACTGTATAATAAATACCCCAATAAGAGCAAGTGCCAAATTAAGTAGAAAGTTCCTTCAATTCCTTCTTGGCCAGCTCTACTTTTCTCATTTTAGAGCAGTAAACAACAATCAAGACAACAACTATGACAACAGAAACAACTACTACTGCACTAAAGTGCAAACCCTCGGCGAACTGCGCATGCAGGAGTCGATACACGCCCTTCGTTGTGACTTCTTGTGCCTCCGAGGTACACAGAGCAAGCGGATCAGCTCGAGGTAAGCTAGTGCTAATTAGCATATTGGCTGGTTTTCACGCCATAACTTCTGAACGCGGAACTTTTACGAAAATCCGCCATTTTTAAAATCAAGCCAGTGTAGCGCTGAACCCGTTGGTGTCGCTATTTTACCTGTTTGTTGCGCGTGGTAGCCGAAAACGTGGTAACAGACGGACAGACAGACAGACAGACAGACAGACAGACAGACAGACAGACAGTACAGACGGACAAACCAAGTACTGTAACCCTCGCTGCGCATGCGCGCCGAGGGTTAATCACTGTGACAATAGCAGCTATAGCACCATCAGGAAGCCTTTCGTCGGTCACAGAGGTAGGCTCAGGAGATGGGGAGGCTGTAACAAAACCTGCATCCACGAAATAGCTATAACCAGTTGTTTGCTTGTGCTAGTGTGGCGTACAGAAAGTATAAGAGGGGATAATTCCCCATACTAAATGCCAAGGGGACCCTATTGCTCAATGACAGTAGAAAGCTACTGTTGGGAACTTACCTTCACGTTTTCTACATACTATTCCATCTCCAGTGTAATTCTCCCCGCACACACACTGCCCTTCTTCGTACTCCGCATTCTCATCACATGTCACTGCATAATGGTATTCATTCCCATTACACACAAGGCATAATACGGTATTGTAATGTAGTAGCGATGTACATAAATCATGAACTTACATAATGCAATGTTGAGTACCATCACTTCACTTATGGAGCCCACACAATTAACACTCATTTTACAGAATATGGAGACAATTGTACCATTCTCAGTTTCCTTAACCTCAAGATCAACTTTCTCATTATCCTGGATGCTCTGACGACACATTGATAGAAACACCGTATTGTTGTCGTCACATGGTTTGGGTAAGCAGCCATTTGATCCTTCCGAGTGTATACAAATTGTGATTTTCATTATATTTCATTATTCATTATTAAATTACCTACGGAGTATATACATTAATCCATTTCAACCATCTCGTCCTGATGCTTTTTTCTTTTAAAGAAGTAAACAACGAAGACAACATTTATGATGAGAACAAATAAGGCTCCAATACCGATCACAATACCAGGATATATCTGGATGAAGTAGCAGATGTGGCCCGTGTGCGTGAAGAAATGGGTGTACGTCTGGTAGGCCTCGGTGTCCATGGGCTCCGTGCACTCTCGCACGCTCATCTCCTCGGAGCAAGGGTAGGTGACGCGACCTGACTTGGCTAGGTGGCAGTTGGCGAAGGCCACGGCCAGCTTACTCTGCTCCATGTCGCTCAGCAGTTTGCACGAGAGGTCCAGTTGATCGACGGCGTCTCTCCAGCAGGGGCTGTGGGCAGCCTTCACCTCCAGCTCCCTCAGGCCTGCCTCCCCGAGCTCCAGACGAGACCTGTCTACTCCTAGGACGGACGGCCCACTCCCATCACCTCCTACACCCAGCCAGAGAGAGAGGAAGAGGAGGCATGGGAAACCGGACAGAGCAGCGCGTCGTCCCATTTGCCGGTCAAGTTTGAACATTGATCCGCGCTGCACATGCGCACTTTCCCCCACCGCCGCGCCAGGAAGCGCGTAACACCTTGAAGCTGTCTATATAGTTTCTTCGACTGAGCTAACCACAGCCACTTTTTTGAGTAATTAGGCGCAAAAGTGGTAGTCAAGAGTTGCTCACTCACTCTATCTACATAATTATAGATATAATAATAATAGATATGCAAACTTGTTCAAGATATAAAAAAACAAAAATAGACAAGCTACTATACCCTCGCTGCACATGAATGCCGAGGGTTGGTTATAATATATAATTATACAAAATATATAACTTAAAGGTGTCAATTAATTAGAAAATTCACCTAGCTTCTTTTTTCCCGTTCGCCGTTTACAGCGGTAAACAATGAAGCCAGCAATCAGAAAACCTATCACAACAACTAAAACAAAAGATAAAAAGACTCCAATCACAATACCAACTATTGTACCACCAGAAAACCTTTCTTCAGTCTCAGAGGTAGGCTCAGGAGATGGGGAGGCTGTAACAAAACAAAACATTTAATAACTGTGTCTATGTATAGGTTAGATCACTGGAACGAGTCACTACGAGGTTTGAATAACCCGAGGGGGAGGGGTGAGAATGACGCAATAGTGACCGAGGCGGAGCCGAGGTCACTATCATCCCGACCCGCGAGGGTTTTCAAACCGAGGAGACGAGTTCAGTGGTCTAATTGGCTTAGAATCGCGGCACGGAGAGCGCAGTTTCGCTTAGTCTTTTCGATAGTGTGCAAGACCCGTTACCCAGTTTGCTCTGCCTTCCAGAATTTAGGCCCGTTGGCCCATTTGCTCATAGCTTCGAGACTGCAGGACGCGTTCATCGTACTAGCATCGCAGCAACTGGACGGATATATCCTGCGAGCCCCGCCGGAGCAAGACACTGCCACTGGAGCGCTCAGCCCGCGTCGCTTGATCTGGACGCGATTTGTTGTTTGTCGCTAGTCAGACGTTGAAATCAGCTACGTGGCTCTCCGGGAAACGCCTGACTACGACCAACAAAAATCGTCCCAGCGACGGCTAGCGCTGCGATCTTGTTGATTCGGAAGCCTCGAATCTAGCAACAAAGGCTTTCCCACTCCTTGTTATTATGGATTGACCTTGGAAACCTCAGTGATCTAAATTCTTCACAGTGATCTAACTTGCAACTAGAGACTTAGTACTTTTTTTTTGTCGGAACTTAACTTGTACTTTGTTTCCTTTTTTTGTTTTTTAAACTTAGAGAAAATACCTGGCAACCTAGTACTAACGGTTTAGACACTTGATTACTAACGCTCAACATCAAAGGGAATTATTCATTAGAGGTTCTAAGCGCTATAGGGAGTAAGATTCCCTGAATGATAGTGAACAGAGTGTCAGCTTGATTATACCTCACTCATGACTGATCATAGATAAAGCTATAGTTACGTGTGAAAACTCACTCTGCAAGCTTTCTACTTACTCTTCCATCACCAGTGAATTCTCCACTGCACACACACTTCCCATCTTTAGACTCTGCATACTCATCACACGAGCACTGCTAATGGTAGTCATATGTCCCGTACGATACAGGGATTGAATAGAAGATAGTATTGACTGTACAACACTGTAGAGCATATGTACATAAAGCCTGACTTACATAATGACAATGTTCGTGAGTACCATCACTTCATCCTTTATGGAGCCACACAATTAACCACTCCTTTTGCAGAATATGGAGACATTGTACATTCTCAGCTTTATTAACCACAAGACCAACTTTCTCATTTTCCTGGCTGCTCTGAGCGACACACGAGTGAGTTGTGAACACACCTTATGTTTTCCACATGCGGTACGAGAAGCAGTCATTAGATCCTCGCGAGTGTATGCAAATGGTGTATCAATTAATGAACTTCTAAGTCACAGAATTATTGAAGAGATCCTCAATTCAGTTCCATTGTAATTACGTGGGATGTGTCTGTAATCTGGAATACAGACTGGCTGTAGAGGCACAACTCTGAACAGGAGTGAGGCTAACCTGTTAGTTGTTACATGAGGCAGGTAGCAAGCATCTCATTGGTT